TAAAGAATCCAGACCCATCACTTCCTTTCAAAGGAAATAGGCAATGTTAGCACAGCCTGGACCCACATTTTTGATCACTGGGCTATCATGCAATCATGCAAATAAATCTACCATGAAAACTCTTCCTAGGCACGCTTGGACAGCGAGCAGGTGTCGTGAAGGCTTGAAATGCCCGCCTCCTTGTGTCCTGGGCCTCCCCTCTAGGCCTCTGACTGTGAGCTGCTACCCCCACGTCCTTCCCTGCCCCCTCCCCCATGGCCTTCCATTATTTAACCACAGCAAATAATTGTCACTTGTGTCTTAGCAATAGGCTCCTCTCTGCACCCCTCGGAGGGCTTCCCCTGGTATCTGACATCACCCAACCGAGCTGGGTAGGTCACAGTGCTGGCTAAGATGCGTTTATCTCGGCTACATGTGCACCTTTGGCCAAGGCATGCCAGAGTTGCCCCTCCTCGATTCAGGTGGCAGCAGACACACCTGTGTTGAGGGATGCAGATGGTCAGCCACTTATTTCTGGGAGAATACAGAAGCAGAACAAAACCAGCTGGGGCATTGCCAGGCGACTTGGGGAAAGATGACTACCCCCAGACTTTCTTGGCTGTTCAGATCTCATTTTCTGGCCCGATCAACAGTAACCCTGTCTCAGCAATGGGTCCCGCTGCCTGCAAGAACTTCCTGGAAAAATGGAAACCCCCATATCTGGTTCATCCAAAGCAGCAGCTCCCAGCACGTGAGATCACTGTACCCCAATTGGCCTGTGAGCCTCGATATCGGCACCGAGGCCCTAAGTCTATGGAAAGTGCCAGGGTGGACCAGAGTGTGACCACCATTGGTCAGTGTTCAGCTGGTAGGCTTAAGAAGCCCTTCTCTCCACTCTGCCTGAGCTTGCCAGTCCTTCAGCTTCTACTCCCATGTCCCAGCCCCCCCCCAATTCCCTGTAGCCAATATACTGAGGACCTTGGTGTGTTTGGAAGCTGGGGGCCTTCAGCCCCCATATGGCTTGGGAGACACCCAATGGTGGTTGGCTTTCCATGCTCTGATGACTTGACCATTGCCGTAAGTTGTGGCCTTCCTATGGCTATGGAGCTGGAGGACATAAATCAGGCACATGATGGCAGCCTTGCCTTTTCCGCGGGAAGCGCAATAGAGATGAGCTTTCAAGCACTTTATCCAGACTAAAATCCTCTCATTCTCCTCAGGCGAGGACTTTGTCAACTCCCTTACAGGTAGAATGCCCCCCCCCCCCGAGCCTATCAGCTGAGGACTTTGTCAACTCCCTTACAGGTAGAATGGCCTCCCCTGAGCCTATCAGCTTGAAAACAAACTTGCATAGCCTGGCCGCGTGGCATTTTCATCATCTCAAAAATGAGTAAGGTGAGGTCAGGCAGCTGCAGGGTGTCTCGTGATTGGAGGGTCCATGCCGCAAGGCGCTTAAACACTTGTGGCTCTCCGATCAAGCTGAGATCCAAGAGAGGCCGGGCCCCACCCCACCCAACTGACCCAAGCTCTAGGGTATCTTCATGATGCATCCAGGGTGAAGGGTTTCTGGACACAGTGCAGGACTCTGGCCTTCACGCTGCCCGTCTGCAGCAGGCCCCTGTCTGTCCTGCAGCTCTCTCGCCTCAACCTGCACCGTCCCTCGGCTGCAGGCCACCGCTTCCTGGAAGCCTTGAGTCCTAGGCAGGCTCAAGAAAGGGACACGCACAGACCATTCAGGCGAGGTTATGAGATGGCTCCGCCAACAGGTTTATCTTACGGACACAGAAACCACAGAACTTGATGCGCCTGGGTGGGTGAGAACCCTTGGCTCCCAGAACAAGACTGTTAGATGACAGGTCAGTCTGCATTCACCTTCGCAGGGCCCCACGCAGCCCACATGAGGACTAGGAATGCTCAGCTCCAGGCTTACAGCCACTAGGTGATGTTTTTGCTATTTGTCTTGTCTCTTCTGGGTCCCTTAGCTCTGCCTAGTGGTGACCTAGCATACTAGGAACCCCAGGCAATATGTGGGTTCCATAAAGCAAAAACTGTCATCCTCCACATTTGCACATTTGTCTTGGAAGCTTTTTCTTTTCTTTTTTTTATTATTTTTTTATTTTTCTTTCTTTTGTATTCTTTCTTTTTTTTTTCTGATGTCTGAACTGGGTCCAACCGTGATCATTTGGGAGGAGATGCTCTCACTCCAGGTTTGCCTGGTCCTGCCCCATCACCACAACCAAAAAAACAAAACAAAACAAAATAAATAAATAAATAAAAACAGCCAGTACCTTCTAAGACATCCTTCAAGTGTCTGCCTAGGGGCAGGAAGATGCTGATGTGAACCCACTGTGGGCATCAACTCTACTTCAAGGAAGGCAGGGTGGGAGGCCCCATCACGAGGACTAAAGGTCTCAAGGAGGCCATGATAAAATGAAATGCTTGCAACCAACCCTGGACCAGAAAGCTCATGTCGGATATTCTCTCCCCGCTTCTGCTAGAGCAGCTCACAGATGCAGCTGATGCAGAATCTATAGGAAATTGCTTTCAGGCCCCCAGAGACCTGTTTGTACAACTTGAAAGTTTGTATTTATTTAATGTACCTCAAGGTGTTTTCATAATGATCAGTGTTTTAATAAAAAGTATTTCTGGTCACTGAGGTCTAACTGGGACTAAGAGGGTCCTGGAGGGGCTGGATCTGGTGGGCCACGACAACTTTCCACCCAAAACTCAGTGCCAGGGACTGAGGAGTGAAGACAGTCGCCTGTGCCTACAGGTCCAAACCACAGCTGCCCCTCTGTTGACCTGACATTCAAAAGAACCTGGAAGTGTAGTATAATCTGACATCTTCCATTTAAGGTCCTGAACTTGTTTACCAGGGGCTTGGTGGGTAAAGAACTCATTGGACAATCATGAGGACCTGATTTGGATTCCAGGAGGAAGGGAGGTGATCCTGTAGCCCCACTGCTGGGGTATGCAGACAGGCAGATCTCAGGGGCTTGCCAGGTGACCAGCCCAGCTGGAAGAGCAAGCCCCAGGCTCCGTAAAAGGCTCTGTCTGTCTCCAAAGATAAGATTAGGTGTGACAGAGGATAACATTCCACACATGCACAGATGGTCACTCGTGCCTACATACAGGTGAGAGAAAACCCATGCACACCCCACACCCACTGTGTAACAGTTGCTAGATGTGGTACCCTCATCTCATCCCAGTGCATCTGTCCGGAGCGGGGCACATGCTTGTCCAGGACACACAAGGGCATTCTGCTTGGTGGGCAGCAGGTGCCAGCTCCTCTGCTCTGTAGCTTTCACCCCAGGGACTGTTCTTTTCATTCTACAAGAATGCAAGCCATCTAGATAGCAGTTTTTGAATGCCGGCACAGGGAAGCATTTTCTTTGTTCTCGGGCCTTCTGTCTTTGGGGAGCGGGTAGACCTCTGTGCAGCATTTCTGGTGCTGTTTCTTTCTACCGCCCCCGTTTGGAACCAGAGCTCACAGTGAAAGGCTGCTTCTCACCTGCCCCGATGGCCACAAGTGAGGGGAGCACATGGCTCAGGCCCCTCAGGAGGTTCCTGCAGAATCACGAGCAATGAAAGCACGTGGCCGACAGCTCACGACGGTGGGACCTGCTCTGCCATGGCAGGTCAGAGACTCTGGCTTGCCAACGTCTCCCACCCCAACATCCTGAGAAAAAATCCCAAGTTTACTCCCATTCCTCACTCACGTCAGGGAAACAGCCCACCTGTGGCCACTGAGCAAGTACAACGCAGCCCAGATGTTAATATTCTACTTGGATGTATCGCACGTGTGAAGAAATGCCGGGGTGTGGGCCGACTTCCTCTCACACACAGAGGTGGCTGATCTGGAGAAGCCTGTCTCCACTTGCTCCTTTATGGAGTCAGCAGACACCTCCAGCCATGTCTTGTCCATGCAGCCGGTGAGTAGGGACTCTGGAGCTGGCCTGGTGACAGGATACCATCATTAGCACCTGCCCTCGAACTTCCTGTGAGAGCTACGAAGGCTCCAGACCAGGGAGGGGTGACATGACCACAGGCAGACTCACAGAGCCACAGTCCCAGCTGGAAAGGAGAGGCCTGCGCGAGGCCCGCTCAGCCCACAAATGAGGCGCACCAAGTGCTTTTCTGTCATGACTTCAGGTTTATTAGCGATATGCGGGAAGTCTTCCTAGGGTCGGCTGCATGCAACACACAGGTTACTCCTCGAGTACAGTAATTCTAAAGCTTTAGTTACTGTGTAATAAGGCTTCTTAAGTCACAGTGTATTCTTCAAGGCCTGAGCCAAAAAAAAAAAAAGAGACTGCCAGACAAAACCATGTCAGGTCACATTGATCGCTAATGACCAGAGCCAGCCACTGCGCTCTGCTCCACACACTAACACTGCTCCGCGCGGGATGGCCAAGCACCTCACTGGACAAGTAATTTACACTCTCGCTGTTCCCTTCAGGAAGGGAGGAGGTGGGGGTTTTCTGCTGTGGGCTTGCTTTGTTGGGGACAGTGTGTGTGTGTGTGTGTGTTGTGTGTGTGTGTGTGTGTATGTGTGTGTGTGTGTGGCTACAGGGTATACATTTTTTTTTTTTAAATAGGGATGTCTCCCATGCTTCTGCCTTTGTTCCTGGCAGGATGTTGCCCTCCTCAACAGGGAGCCTTGTGATGGAGAAGGAGTCCACGTGAAGATGTCCAGGGAAATTCACAGGGTCTCAGGGGACTCAGAACAGGCGAGGACAGGAGAAGCAGCTGTGGTCACAGGTCGCCGGAAAACCTAAACGTCTGAAGAATGGCTTGCCAAGGTCAAAGTCCAAACAGTAATATTTGCTAAATAAATATGGAGTTTTGGCATTGTGACCATCATTTTTTTTTATTTAACTCGGGAGTATCCCCTTGCTGCGTCAATACTTACAATCAGTCATAGGTTCCCATACGCGGCACAAGCCTCATCCGGGTCCCAGGAGCCAGCTTGCCCCTGCTCAGGTGCAGATGGAGGCTACGCCAGCATACGGGCCCTTTAGGACTCGGCTGGACCCCAAGTGTCCCAGCCAAAGGGAAGAGATGGCTGCAGCTCCCTTCACAGCCGCAGGGGCGGGCACCACATTCACATTCCATAGCCTCAGGGAGGAAGAACACAGCACAGCACACAGAACTACCTGTGAGCACCCTTCATCAGCCGCGATGAGAATGTGGCAGAGGACCGGTTAGTGTCCCAAGGGCTTGTTCCTCAACTCCCCCTTGGTGAGGACGTACCTTTTGTGTGTGTGTGGCAAAACCAAAAACCAAAACAAAACAAGAAAACTAGATGGTGAGGACACACCCTTCAGGGGAGCCAGAGTTCTTGGTTGGGCTATGGGATGAGGGGTCAGGGCTGTGTCCTGGCTTCTGGCTCCTCTGGGCCCCCAGGTGGGTCTGCCTGGTGTCCCTGCTCCATGGCGAGGCTGGGTGTACCTAGATGTACAGCGGGGTCTCCTGGCCTGTGAGGAGTCTGAACATGGCCGCAGGCATGGTCTTCATGTGGATCTGTAAGTAGAGAGGAAGGCTGAGCTGCCCGCCGCTTCCCAATCAAGTAAAAATGAACAGCAGCTGTCCAGTTCCTGGGGGAGGCTCTGAGAGGGACAGACCGGGCTGAGGCGTGGGGACCACTCCCTTTCCAGGATTTTGTGCACGGTGCAGCTCTCTTTCCCTCTCATCTCATCACACTGACACCAGAAGAACGAAGCATCAGACTTCCGAGGGTGACTACAGTTTGCCCGTAGGATGCAGGCACCCCACCCCAGAGCCGCAAGGAGGATGCTGGGCATCTGTCAGGGGCACATGCTAACACTGGGTGATACAAGAGTTCTGGGGCTAGGAAAAGGCCAGAAAGACAAGCTGTCCCAAGACTTCATCCTCTGAGGAGCAAGTAACTAATGCTCTTAACAGCCTGAGTGCCCTTGCTGGCTCTCCATAGGCTGGGTATACAGCCAGCTAACCATGGAATTGCTTCCAGGGCGTTGGGATGTAGGAAGACACTGAGCCCCTGAAAGCAAAGAGCAGGTGAGCTTCATCGTCTCATCATCCGCTCCTCTCAACAGGACCATGCTCCTGGACTCAGGTGTGCTGTGTTCTTGCAGAGGCTGCCAGGGTCTCAGTTGCCCCCCCAGGTCTGTTCTGCCCCAGGCAAGCAAACCCCGACTCGACTCTGCCCAGCTCATTCAGGCTAAAATCTGCAGATGTTTGCTGTGTTCATGGTTTAGCTCCTCCACATCCCAGGACAGCCTTTCTCTACCCCACCCACAATCAACGTGGAGGAGGAAGGCTCTTCCTCTTGCTTACCAGTGACTCAGTCTCCAAATGTGCTTGGGGGTTGTGGAAAATGCAGGCAGACATTTTAATCCCCCAGTTGGGAAGACGCAGCCTCAGCCCACAAGCTAAATGGAGTCCGTCACTCAACCCCCTGTTTGCAGCCCCCTTGGGTATCAATTATGCCCAGGCCTGAGGAGGCAGAATCATTTCTTGGGGTCCCAAGCCCACGCCTCCACGGGATTGATTTCTTTAGGTGTGAAGCTGAACACTCCCATGAGGACGGTCATTTCTAAATGTCTACTTAGGAAAATTGGATTTTCTTTTCTTGGAAGACATTAGTAAGAGGCAGCCAACGGTTCCTTCCTGTCGTCTCCCTGAGAGTCAGCCATCACTACTACCAGCCCAAGGAATGTGCTGGCCCCGGTATTTCACAAGATGCTGACTTTGTCACTGAGGGACATTAACCAGGATCCCCTGAGGAAATCGCAACTCACACCCTTCCCTGCCCACAGGGAAGGAGCCCTGACCATCTTACCTGCATGGTCACCAGGTGGCCACCAGAGGGAGTTTGGCAGGGACCTTAGAATCCAACCCAACATCAGCTGGCACCTATCTCCCCCAACGCTTCTGCTGAGCACCAGTCTCACCCTCTCTCCTAGCAACCCACACCTTCTCAAAGCCCTTGGTCCCACTCACTGTGACCACCCTGTCACCGTTCCCACTGGCACACTCATCCCACTCCCCCATACTCATATGTATTTGGACTCACGTGCACCCACTCTACACGTCAGAAGCACATGCTTACCCCGCAAATTCACAAAGGCATTTGCACACATGCACGCACACACACCTGCATTCATGCACACCCGTTCTTGTACATGTATACACACATCACAAACACAGCCTCACCCACGCATTCTCATGCACCCACACTCACACTACCACCCCCACTCTCCCACACCTGTGGCCGTACTCCATCTCTCTTCCACGGCTGCATGCACAGGTCACAAACACACGTCGACCCCACAAATCACAGATCTAGTCACTCATCCACATAGACACTGACACAAACACCTCTCGCTTTTAACACACCTCATATACATCCGCGGACACATGAAAACATACCACAAACTCGCATGCATTTGTACTAACACCCCTATAATCACTAGCACCCACATTCATACCTACTCTCACAGGTAGAGTCATACATACCCCTACTAAACACACTCCCCGAACCTTATATAAACACACCTATACACCCACACCCTCACCTCAACTTCTCCCCACTACACGTGCTCACCACCTCACCCATGCGCGCGCGCTCGCGCGCACGCACGCGCACACACACACACACACACACACACACACATCTCTATCCCACAAACCTCGCCCATACTGGCTAAGTCTCCGTTCTGTGTACTGTGGCATCACCCAATCTAGCCTGCTCCACACCACGCACTGTGATGCTCACTTAGGAGATCCTTGAGGACAGCTGCACCCCTCCACTGGGACCCTCTTGGCCATTCTCTTGTTACCATGGAGATGACCCAAGAAGAGCTAAACTAGGGGATGGTTACAGACTAGTGAAACAGGAAAGGAAAAGCAGCCTGACCCTGGGCACAAGGGACAGCAATGACACAGCAGCTATGTGGTGATCAGAGCCACCTGGCTTAAGGGCTGGATTGGCAGGATTCTGTTCAGAAAAGGTGCTGGGAACTGTGCCTGGTGGCCTCTGCCCAGTGACCTTTGCCCTGAGTGTCTGGGAGCACTACACCCATGTGTTGCTCCTATTCAGGGACACTGTGAGGTGGGGACATAGTGTGCTTCTCAGCTGGCATCCAGTGGCCACTGGAGGGTAGCTGGGTCACAGATGTTCAAGTAGGGCATGAGCCAGCATGTGGAAGTGAGTCCAGCATCCCACATGCTCAGGCTGTCCTGAAAGGGCTACTTCCCTCAGAGCATATAATATGGCCCACAGGTTGGCTGTTAGACAGAAAAATAGGAGCCCAGTCATCCTGGACGCCACGGTGAACAAGATGGACTTTGAGGCCGGGTCAGAGTCTTACCTCTCCCACTGAGTTAGACAGAGCCTGGACTATCTTCTCGTGGGCTGTGGCCACCACACTCTGTCCGTTGATCTCGATGATGCGGTGGCCGACGCGGACACCCCCTCGCTCCGCAATACCCCCTCTCATGAGGCTGCAGATCTATGGGGACAGGTGAAGTCAGCACACACATGGCCACCACACCCTGCACGAGTTCCACCGTGTCCCAAAGATACGAGAAGAGAAGCTACTTTTGCAGGAACCCAAAGTGTCACTCATGACTCATGAACGAGGCCATCTGTGAGTTAGAGTGCGGTTTTAAAAAGAAGAGCCAGCAGCACAGTGTGGGTGTCAGAAAGCTTCTTCCTGCTGCTGCCTAGAGCAAGCATCTCCCCATCAGCCACACCCCAGTGCTCTTCGGAGGAAGACAGTCGGTCCGACCCTTTCCCACCTCATAGAGAGTTCGGTGAGAAAACTCTTAAGCAGCACATGGAGTTCAGGGAAGGGACACGGAACCCAGAAAACAGTACTGCATCCACTCACTCACAAAACTCACGAAAAGCGGCATCCATAGAGGCCACGGAGAGGAGAGGCATGTCCCATACAGGGAAGAGAGGCACACACCTCCCTCCAGCTGCTTCCTGGGAAGCATAGTGTTAATTAACCAGGCCATGGGGGCGTGCAGGAGCAAGTTTTGAGGTGGGGCTGGACCTTGCTCAGGGTCTCAGTTAGGGGCAATGATGAGGACCCGGCCAAAGGAGTCTATGAAGCTCCGGGATGTCCCCTGAGGCACCCAGCCCTACCTGGGTTTCAGTTGCCTGTAAGGTCTTAGGTACTTGCTTCAGTCTCCCTCCCCACCACCACCAGTGGCTGGCCAGCCCATCTCTCCTGCTGAGCCTGCAGGGAGCCTCGTTCCTCTCAGCTACGCACCCTGATTGAGACTCCCCTGAGCCTCCTGGAGAAGCTTGCCTACCTCGCGGCTGGTTTTGCGTAAGTGCTTTTCCCATTTTCAGCCTCATCTCACCCCAAGCACAACACATTAGTTTGCAGACAGGCCCCACATGACCCAATTAAGGCTATTTCCATATGGATCCTCCCTTCTCGTCCCACAGGATCTCCCAAGGAGTCAAGAAGTCTCCAGCGTGGAGACTCCCTGGAGTCCATACTGAACAGTTAGAGCATACAGAGCCCACCTCAAAACCCCTCTTGCGTGCCCCATGACCTTTGGAGACTAACAATTTTGTACCCAAAATTATACATTTGTTCCATCAATTCCAAACCTCTCAGAGCCAGACATCTGAACTCTGCACCCCTAAACTTCTACCACACACCTCACTGCCCCCAAACAGGCTTCCCTCTACCCTACAGGCCTCCTCAGTGATAGGGTATTGCAAACCCCTTGGTACCTCCAGCGCCCCTGTTACACACACACACACACACACACACACACACACACACACACACCCCTTGCCCTTTGCCTCTGCCCTGGCCTCTGAGGAAGGGGCTCACATCATCCCACCTGGCCCACCACAGGGGTCCACTTCTCTTCTCACTCATCTTAATTCAGCCCCCACAGGCTCAAGCCAGAGCCTCCCCCCACTTCTTACCAATGCCCCCTCTCTAGCCCCATGGTACACAATCCGCCTTGCAGGCTATATGACCGAAACAGAAAGGGACCTGTGACATTACCCAGGTTCTGTGACCCTACATGAAACAGTGAAGACAGTTTCCCTCAGTGGTAGTTGTCTTAGTACTTTTCTGCGGGGTCATTAGGGAGCCCCCACATCCCCTTGTCTTCCCTGCAAATGCTCTCCTCGTCACCCTGAAGCTCTTTCAGCTGTGTAAGCAATCAGGAACAAGGTTCCTTCTGTACTCATTTAGCGGCACTAGCTCCGCCCTTCGGGACCTTCACACTAGGTAAACCAAGGAGCCTGAGTTTATGCTGGTCAAGTAAGTCAGAGAAGGTAGTGTCCAATTGGAAGAACTTATGCTCGGGAAGCAGGTAGATGCTTGGCCCCGCATCCCTTCCTTCAGGAAGGCCTCCTGTCTTCTTAGTGCCTGCCAGAGAGCCTGACAGGGAGCCAGGGTTTTACCCATGTCTGCTAAATGGATAAACAAATGAATTGAATGAATGAAATAATAAATAACGATGTGTTTGTTGAGCATGGTGAGAATGATGGCAGAATTTGGCTGTGTGTCCAGGCTACCATAGCTGACAAGGTTTGCCATTCCCCTTACAAGTAAGCACTTGATGAGAATACACCTCAAGAGAATGCTGGTCTACGTTTGACAGATCCCAGGCCACACACTGGCCCTCCCTATCTGCCTTGGCCAGCATATTCTATCCAGATCTGTCTGGTTTATATGTTCTCCCTAGAGCTGGCCTGGTCAGCTCTCCCTAGACAGAGCGGCACCCCAGCCTTCAGTGCCCAGTAGCTACACATGGAGTGGGTAGCCCGGGCAGGGAGTGTGGGGTAGACTCACGATTCCATTCTGCACGCTGAAGCCCAACTGGTACTTGAGGTCAGGACGCTTGATGAGGACCGTGGTGACCGGGGGACAGCTGACAATGTTGAGCTTTACCTGTGTCTGGTTCTTCAGGCCCTGCAGAACATGGGGACATGTCACCAGCTGATTCCCCATGAAGAGGAACTGAGGGCTTGAATACCAGGGTCACACTCAGGGGGTATGGGAGCAGCTGTCACCAGGCCGTATACAAAAGAACTTTCTTTTCTCGAGGGCTATGAAGACTCCATTGTATAGTCAAAAACACTACACAGATTGACTTCCCCAAGAGGACCATACCAGCTCAGTGAGGACCTGAGCAGGCGCTGAGGGCTCAGGGACTGCATGAGGACAGGCTAGTGAGGAGCCAAGAGGAGCTCCAGGCTGTAGAGAGGACCAGGTCTGCCCCCAGCACCCCAGGCCAGAGTGCTTTGGCCTTTCATGGCTGCAATTTAACTCACCCAGAGATGCAGATACATACAGGGTTCCCAGGACACGTAGCTCTGAAAAAGCCAGGCTGGGCCTGTGGGTATCTGTCCCATTGGATAGAGGTTACTCTAGACGGGCTCGTAAAGCCCCCTCATGTCGCATTCTGGTATTAGAAAAGTTCCTCGTGTTGTAAGGACAGAGACGCTTATCCTAGTTTCATGGTTAGGAAGGACAGGGAGAGTCAAGCACAGCTTGCTGTGCTGCTACCAAAACCAGCAGCCCCTACCTTGAGTATTGAACTGGGCCATATAAAGACCTGACCCCACCTACACGTGTTCCTCTGCCTTGGCACCTCTCAAAGCCCTCTCAAGCTCACAGGACAGGTGGTCAGAAAGAGCACCAGCCTCCCAGTACCATGTCCACTTAAGACAGCCTACCTTCCAGGCTGCCATGACTAAGAAAAACTTCCAGACGCGCCCCCTGCAGGGCTAACCTGGGAATATCCCAGGCACAGCAGGCTGAGGAGTGAGATAACCCCAATTCCTTTTCCTACGCTGGCGAAGCTTGGGTCTTCCTCTGATTTCAGGTATGTGCTACTCTTGGGATCAGCGGACTGTCGTGGACCCATCCCTGGGTCTCTCTGGGCTTCAGTCTCAAGTGAGGGTTATGAGTCAAAGAGCAGCGGGGCTGAGGAGACCACCGGGCACAGGATCCCAGAATACACACCTTGATGATGCCCTGGCAGGTAGCCAGGGGCAGCCCCACCAGGCTGGTGCCATTGATGGACATGATCTGGTCCCCAATGCTCAGCTTCCCTGAGCGAGCTGCAGGCCCGCCGTTCATCATATTTGCCAGGATCACAGTGGGCAGGATGGAGCCCCAGCCTGATTCCACGACCACCACACCCAAAATCTCACCCTTGTGCTTCTCGAGCTGCAGCTGCAAGAGAAAGGGCACTGTGAGGGGGCACACTGGTAGCCAAATCCAGGGAAAGACATGACTGGCCTTGGTCCCTTGGATCCTGTCCTGCGAAGGCCCGTTTATCTCAGCTAGGAAAGGTTTGGGGCTGAGAGAACTTCCTTTCCTCTGGACTCACCCTGCACCAGCTTCTAACACTATTTAGGACCCTGGAGCATTCTGGGAACTGATAAGCAAGGAGTCCCTGCCTTGCCCAACTCAGCAGGGATTCTGGGATGCTAGCACGGCTCCTGGGCTCTGAAGTTTTCCCACCCACCAAACCCTCTGAGGCTATCCCACGGTCAAGCCTTTACTCTCATCTGCAAAGTCCTATTTCTTCTTTGCTTTAACGATGTCTAACTATTCGCCACACATTCAAGAAGCCAAGATGGGGCACGCACCCAACAAGGATACAGGATAATTCATTCGCTCACTCCAATAAACACACACAATCATCCCCTCACTCATCCCCAAAGAGCAGACTCATTCTTCATTCTGAAGCCCCCAAAGTTAAGGCCTTTGGGACCTGCTAGGGCTTCTGTTACCAGAATTTCACTGCCGACTCACCCAGGCTCCCTATTCTCAAGATGCCTCCCGTGAGCTTTGCAGAAATATCTCCTTGCGCTAAGCCGAGTGGTAACAACATTAAGGTGCACATTTTCGGGGCCACTAAGACTGACTGGAATCTTTGTCTCCACTGCAAGTGTCTCATCTCACACCTGCACGCACAGCTCCAAGGCAGGAGCAAGACGCATCCTGAGGGCCTCTGTGTTGGTACATTGGTGAGTGTGCGGACCGATACCTTGAGCCCATCCTTGTCTGGTGGGCTGAGATGGGGAGGCATTGAGACAGCCCCACACCCAGGCTGCCTGGCCCATCTCTTTGGGGGCTCAGTTAGGAGAGCAGGGTTTAGCAGAATGAGCTTTGGGGGGGGGGTGATCCCAGCTAATGTGGCTTACCTACCTCCTGGAGGCCCCTGGCCGATGTGGCTCACCCCCTGGGGACCCCCAGCCAATGTGGCTCACCTCCTTGCAGTTCTCCGAGTTTGAGAAGTGGATGAGGTCATCATTATACATCTCCTGGGTATTTATGATATCGCTGTATTCCTTCTGGCTCAGGTCTTCAGGGTTGATGCCGTTTGCCCTGAGGAACTCCTGGTAGGCCACGCTGAAGGCCTGCCCGATAGACTGGGCTATCAGCTGGGCCTGTGGGAGGAACAGGCCTGCTAGACCAAAGCATGGATACACAGGCTCCAGTAGGTGCCCAAATACCTTCAAAGGAGCCCTTTTTGGGGGCTTAAACAATGAAGGCAGTGACTCTGGGCTCTGTCTGTCATATCCCACCTCGGGCAACCATGATGAGAATCTCTGTTGTCTGTGCTACCTCAAGTCCAGATACTGGGACAGAGCAAGGCTTTTGTAAACTCACAGAAAATGACAAAGTAGAAGGATTTGCTAAATACAAAATTTTCTTGCTTTAATTAGGAACTGTAATATATTTTTTATTTTGCCTATTCAGTTCTAAAAGCAGAGTTGAGATCCCACCCCAGCCCCTGGAGTGACAGTTCCATGGTTAGCTGTCTATTCTATCTCTCTGGAATTAGAAGCCCTTGAGAGGTGGAGGCTGGTGTGTATGCCACAATGCTCTGGTATGGAAGGGTATGCTAAGCTGAGGGCCACAAGGCATGCATCTGGGACCCAGGACAGACTCCATGTTCTCGAGAAGATCACATCTTTCTATGCCCCAGGAAGAAACGTACGGAAGCCTGGATGCTGATGACAGACAGCTTCCCTGCCTGCACTACAAACAGGACACCCGGAGGCAGGATCTAAAGAGGCCATCTCCTGGACCACGCATGCATGCTCCAAGCTATGCAGCCCTAGGAAGGCATGGGACTTTGGGGAACATCTCAGTGCATAGCAAATCCAACATCTGCCTCCCCCGCCCAACCCTCTTGCTGCGTGAGCTCCACCTAGCCCCAGTCCCCCTCTGCTTCTCCTCCCACACACCTGCCATTGCCTACTTTGTAGGGTGACTCCAAAAACCTTGGTTCAGTATGATCTGAGAACAGGGGGTCAGTCTGGCTTCAACTCTTTTCTCCCTCTGCACAATGCTTGATTTAAGTGCTTCCGAATGAATAAGCATATCTAAAATCAAGCTGGGATGGATCATAGTCTCCACACACCAGGCCTTGCTTTAAATACTCATTGATTCTAGGCTGAACTGCCTGCCCAACAATGTTCTTGTTCCCACATCAGTGTATTAGCAGTGGGTGGATGCGGCAGCCCAGGAACCGCTAGGTGGCGCTGCCGGCCTGGATAAGAAAGGAACTGGTGCAGGAAGGAGCACATGGGGTTCTTGAGAGGAAAACAGCAGAGGGGGGGACTGTGCCACCACCCATCCCGCAAAGGAGAAGGGCCACAGATTGGGGACGGGGGATCTCAGTGCTCCCACTGCCAAACCCTGGGAAGGGCAGACTGACGGCATCAGGTGTCTTTGCCCACTGTCCTAGGTTGTTCTGTGAGGCACTTCCCATCCTCCAACTCACTCTTCCTGCTGTAAGATGCGTCCTCTCCTTATCCGAAGGAAATGCCTGAGAGACTCAGGTCAGCCATGCCATTTGGAAAGATCACCCTCTTCGAGCACAATCCATAGAGCCATGGAGTCTACACTGCCTGCTGTCCCCCACTTTCCCCTTTGGTTCCCACCTCCCCTTTTGTCCTTACCTGCCCTTGCTGTCCCTACCTCCCCTGATGCCTTCCAACCCTACCCCTTCCCCTTGTGTCCTGGTTTCCCTCCTGCCTGGACAGGAGTCAACTAGCTGAGGCCCCGCTCCAGCCCTTCCCACCAGAGCTCCTTGCTTGCTCCAGTTCCCAGCCAGGCCTGTGGGTATAGGGCTGCTATAAGGCCCCAGCTGAGCTGAGGGCTAGGTGCAAGGGCCTCAGTGCCTGGTGGCTTCCTGCAGGTGGGTTCAAGGTCCTAAAGAAGTCAGGAGGAGGCCGTGCCTAGCTCATATCTTCCTGGCTTCCGGGCTCACATCGCCACAGTCATCTCTGCAGTAGCATCTAGCCTTGCCCTAGCCCCAGGGCAGTGAATCCTACCTTACAGAGGGGCACCCGGGCCTCAGCAGCCTGCCTTGACAGGCTTACCATCGTGTCCCCTCTCTGAGAAGCTGCTCTGAGGTGCCTGACAGAGCCAGAGCAGTTTTTTTCTCACTCCTTCAAGGATTATTTAGGTTCTACCTTCACTGCACTCCCAACTTGATCTCCTGCCCCGTGGATGGGAGCTAATGTCACAAAGACAGCTCCTACCTCATTCTCTACCAAAAGTTGTCTGCCCCGGCTGTGCCTAGGCCCCTCCCATTCCTGGCTCCTCCACGATCTGCATACAAGCCCCACTGCTAGCCATCTCTTGCTCACACTACATCTCAGTTGACATCTACCACACCGGCTCTCTAGGACATCCCCAAGCACACGGACCTGTCTGTCCACCTGTGCACAGAACTTCATACGGTGGTGCACACTCGTGCACTAGCAGGCATGAACAGAAAGAAATGGCTTCTAGTAGAAAACTCCCATTGCTTCAAAACATTTTCAGTCGATGACTTAGGGAAAAGATAACAGCTCTCACACCCTGGTCTGAACCTGGTTTTCAGAGAAAGATTCTACACTGTGTTTCAAATGTTGAACTACCCGGACCCTATACCGATCCAGTAATGCTTGCAAGCTCTCCTGTGAATGAGCCTGCCTTAGCCCCTGCAGAGATCGGTGCTCCCACAATATTGCCACCACTGACAAAAGCTTGGAATGGCCTCTTCACAGAAGGTCAACAGAAAAGAGGTAACAGCTCAACCACAGCCTTCCTGGAGGCTAAGGACCCCATGGAGACACTGGAGCCCCCCCTATCCCACGGTCACCTCAGGTTTTGTTTCTGTTGTTTGGGTTTTTTGGTGTTGTTTTTGTTTGTTTGGTTTGGCAATTCTGATTGACATAATGATCCCATGGCCTCGGCTTCAGGGGAGTTGGGATTACAGGCTTTGGTCACCCTAGGATCTTTCAGCTATGGCATTTAAAATTTGAAAAAAAATGTTTTAAGTTGTTACATGGTTAAAAAAAAACACAGCAAAGGCAAAGCCTGCATAACCTTGGTGAAGACACATCCTTCTATGTATGCTTGGCATGTAAGCATGTGCATGCTTGGCATGTAAGCATGTGCATGTGTGCATGCTCAGCATGTAAACATGTGCATGTGTGCATGCTCAGCATGTAAGCATGTGCATGCATGCAACCTTGGCATGTAAGCATGTGCATTTTCATAAGAGAAAAGTTAGGGAAAGATGAACTTTATCTCTGAGCGAGAGGCTATGCAGAATGATTTCTTTGGTTAGATAGTTGTGATGTATTTAACAGCTCCGGAAGCACCCATGCTATGAAGGGAAATAAACCTGTTTATTTACAGATACAAGTGTGAGGAAAGGCGCCGACTCCTCTCACGCATGGACTCTGGAGCTAAGTGGCTGCCGGCTTTCAGGAAAGCAGCCAGCTCCCCACACCCCGCATCCTAGCCTTACTTACGTCTTCTGACTCAAACACGTGACAGATCATCTTGTACTGCTTCTTCCCCTCCTGGGCCCCAGGGGTGGTCTCAATGCAGTCCTGAGAGGCCGACCGGGGCATGCGGCGTCTGGCCATCAGAACCACGATGTTGCCGATGTCTGCAATGTAGGAGATGGTGCGCAAGGCGTGGTCCATCATGGTTTCCTGCCGGGGAGGAGGAGAGGCCACGTCAGGGAGCACTGAGGAGGAGAGGCCAGGTCAGGGAGCACTGAGGAGGAGAGGCCACGTCAGGGAGTACCGAGAATATTCGTCTTGAACAACCAGGCTAACATGGAGTTTTGTAACCTTGAGACCAGGCCACTCTAGTGCAGAGGGCAGGGCTGTCCTGTACACTGGATGATGGTACTGGCATCACTGGCCTCTACCCACTGGATACCAAAACCAAAAATATCAGGCCCTTGTTGAGGACCACAGCTCTAGTTGACATAGTGTTTCATGATGGTCCTGGACAAAGTGGCCCGGGGTGGGGCTATTCAGCCATGGAAGAGAAGCATCCATGTGCTGGAGCGCATCGCAGTAACACGCATGCTTCCACACAGGCTGACTCCATGTCCTCCCGGCTTTCCTGTGTCAAAGCCAATGATGAGTTTGCCACAAGTTCTAAGAAGTAGCAAGCCTGGCTGTGGTCAGCAAGTCTCCATAGTGGTCCCTGGCCTGGCCCATTACTCTTGATGTCTTTTGTCACTTGATGGCATCTTGCCCATGACCCCTTCCTAACAAGGCTGCACACAAAGGCTCTGAAAAAACTAATCAGTTGTTCTTTTGTGTCTTTGTTCTCCTGTCACAAAGGGAAATCTGGTGTCTCTGAGGCTCTGACCTCTGGAGTTCTCTTCCTCGGCACAGATTCTTCCTCTTGCCTTGCATACACCTGACGAGGCAGTGGTCTAGTTGCTGCCAAGGTTATGAGGAGGCTCATCAGCCACAGCACTGGGCAGGTGGGGGCCGAGTCTTTGTCAATGAGACTCTGGCATCTGAGACGCTGGCCGCTAGCCAGAGCTCCCAAATCTTTGCCCAGCTCTGGCTTCTCAGACAGAAGCAGCCACTGTAGTGGCCTCACTGTCCCTGGCCATGCCCGGTCACTTCAGCCTCTACCTGCTCACTTGTCCCCACCCTCCAGCCATCTGCCAGTGCTCCAATTTTCCATTCAAATCACTGTCCTGCTGCCCTCTCCTTTCCAGTTCCTTCTAAACAGCGACTTGGAAGAAACTCACTATCTCTCTCGATGGCCCATTCCCCCGTCCCTGGGAGACGGCATTCTGGCACGGGCACCTTGAACCCAGGAATAGAAAGAAGCCATGGTCCTCCCGAGCAAAGCCCTCCTTCGGCTGGACACCTGCTCTGCCGAGGCCCCAGGCGCAGCAGCTGGCCATGGTGATGTGGGCAGCCGTCTGTCCGGTGCTTACCTGGGTGTCAGCATTTAAAACTCTGATCCTCTGGGTGGAGATAAAGAGGTCTACTTCCGTCAGCGCCTGGGCATCGCCTTCCGAATTCTAAGACAGAACCACAGGTGCGGTCACACCCCAGAGGCCCACCACGGTTCACTGCCTTATACTGTCCTCTAGCGACCCTGAGGTGACACGGAAGGAAACACTAAACCAAAATGGGGCAGCCACTGGAAGCCTGCACGCATGCGTGGTGGGGAGCCCCCTTTTGAGCGCGAGCTCTCAGGGCACAGGGCACAAAGAGGCAGCTTGCCATAGCAGGGGCCTGGCTGGGGTCTTACCGCCCCCCCACCCCAGCAGCAAGCAGGGTCCCTTGGCTAATTCTTGCTGGATGTGGCGATGGTGACTGTCATTACCCTCCAGGGACACTCTTGAGGGTGGAGACGGGAACAGGGGGAAACGTTCTCAAAGAAGCTTGCTTCAGATGGAAGCCCTTCCTTTCTACTTAAATGTTCATAATCACATGACCGCCCTTCCAAAGACCACGAGGAGAGACGGAGGACAGGGCTGAGCATTGCCTGACAGGGATATGGAGGTGCAGGAGAAACTGTCACACTTTGTGGTCTCCACTGGAAGCGACTCAGCCCTGGAGCTGAGTAGCTGCTCAAGGCCTGTCCCTAAGCAGGACAGCGTCTAATTGTTTCTCACACCTCTGAAGATACTGATCACCTCACAGAGGCACTGAGGTAGAATCCTCCCATCTCCTACTCCCCTACCTTCTACCCCCCCACACCCTGTTTTCCCCTGTAGGGAAAGGGAGCCCAGCAGGTGTGGTCCTTTGGCCACAGCCCCAGAGAACGTTGCCGCTTTGAGGACACAGGAAACTAGATTTCTCGTCTTTGAAATGTAAGGAAAGAAAGTGGGATGGATAACAAGCCCGGTGCTATGTCTCCCATGGGCTTACCAAGGCCCTCTGACACCAAGCTTGTTGGAGTTTTATACAAGTACATAGAAAATAACTAGCATTTACGAAATGACCAGGTCAACAAACCAATGACTGTCAACCTAAGTTTTGAAAGTCTACCCAGGCTTAAACTCCTTGTTTCTTCTTTTTTCTATTTTTCCTTAGGTGTGCATACCATGACCTTTGCTCCCTAGGCAGGTGCTCTGCCTTGAACCACATCTGGGAGAGAGGGCAGTTCCAAGACAAACTCTGTCCCAGTTTAGTGAGTAAAAACTAACGGCCCAAATATCAGAACAACACAGTTAACACTATGAGGCAAGCCGAGTTCTAGACACTCTATGCTGTCCAAGCAGATGTCCTATTTAGGAGTGTCCATGCAAAACAGTTCTGCAGACATGAACCTTGCTCCAGGCCATGGGAGACAGTAGATAAGAACAGCTCATTAAAATAAGCAATATGGCTTCATTCCCAAATCCAGCATTCTCCTCACAGAGAAGACAAACCTACGCTCTGTGGTACTCCTTGAATTCCCACCAGAAGTCCCCATGCACAAAGGAAGCCAGGCACACACACACACACACACACACACAAGCACCGCTCTTTCAGGCTCGCATGGGTTCTACACACCGCTTTTTTCTTGATCTTAGCAGCCTTCTGCACCCTCTGAGCAGCATGGAAGAGAAAAGAACATCAGGAAGGAAGCTGTGGCAAGGTTATTTCAGCCTTGTGCTTAACAGAGAAAACTCAGCCTCTGCAAGTCCCCTGCAGGGACCATTGGACAGTCACCACCCGGCTGAGAACATACAATAAAGAGAGACCATTCATGCCTGCCACCCCCAGGCGTAGAAATGACTGTCGACCACTCCATAGACCCGAGGAATGGGATCAGGGACCAGGAAAGAGGCCAAGGTGGGTCAGGAGCCATAAGGCCCAAAGGGGCAGGCCGGGTCCAGCCCGAATCCTTCCTTACTTCGCTTATCTTTACCAGCATAGATGGTCTCGTGGTGCCCTCTGCTTCCATCCAAGGAGATTAGCGTGTAGTGGGGGCAGGGGGCATTGTTCCTCTTCATTCCCACAGGCCGACATTATTCAGGCTCCACCTTATCCAGGGTGGGACACCAGCTCATATTGTCATGTCCCCTCCCCTGACCTAACTTAGCTTCACGGGTATGGTCTCATGTTCTACCTGCTCATCATCACCTGCTGGAAAAACCACACAGGTCCCAAAGCCTACAGAGCGTTGCGTGTGCCGGTTTTCCTCGAGGCTATGCATTTGAGTGACAGTTGATGTATTCTCCCTGCTTCTAGAAGCACTTTGGTGCTAAAAATACACGGTTGGGACCGGATTTAAGGCTCCAAACAAATACACTTAAAGACTGGGATGTTTTAGAAGCGTCAGTTATCTTTAAAAGACTGTTTCCCAGTGACTGGCTGGACCACATTTAAGGAGCTAGGGATGACTCTGCCCTGCTGAGCATTGGCCAGCCAGGCTACAGGTTTGGGATGCTGGGCCACGCCTGCTTTCCGTGCTGGACAAAGCTCCTGAAGCCTATGTAGTCCCCGCTTCAGAGCTCCCCCAGGGACCCACCCAAGTAACCCTCAGGGTCTGAAAGTACCCCCACCTTGACCCTGCTCACAGCCTCCTGAGCCTGCATCATTCGGATGTTTTTGGAGGGGTTTCGCTCAGAGAGCAGCTGGGTGGAGCCCAGGTAGTTGGCTGCAAAGATGATCCCATCGATGAGGTCTTCTGGCTCGCAGGGCCCTGGAACTGAGGAGGTACAGAATGAGTGACGCCCTGAAAGAGAACCAAGGGTTCACATGCCCGGCCCGGCACAAGGTGCACAGCCACCAGGATGGTGGAGCAGGAGGACGGAGCTGTGCAGCTGGCCTGCAACTCAGTGGAGGCCAGTACAAGTCACACAACTGACACATGGCTGGATGGCTCTGCATGAATGGTGTGGTGAGGGGACCTCTACCCCAGCAGACTGTCGCTTCCAGGGTGACACGCACCCGCTGTGACCCAGAAAGGACTGCCTCCAAACACAGAGACACTTACCACGCTTTCATGGAGGTACGTGAAGGGCCATGTTGAACTCTTCGGGGACTTTCTCTCCTCCCCTGTCCAGTCTGCTGCCAGCCTGCAGCTTCTCATCCCACCCAAACCAGGCCTCAGCAAGGCACCAGGGCCCTGATTCTATCTGTTGCCTCTAGACTATGGAAACACCACAGATGCTCTGATGGCCTGCTCCGCCTCAACCGTGCAGTGCAAGGCCCCTGGACACTGGTGCCCTGAGCACTGCGGCTGAAGACTGGCTGTCCCCGAAGGCACAGCAGATGCCCTGTGTCTGTGAGCTTCAGAGCCTGCACTATGAAGTGAGACCTGAGATGGTTGTATCCATGCTAGGCCAAGTGCAGACTTTCTGCTGTGGTTATTCCCTGAGAAGCTACAGTGGAGCCACGTTCACATGACACGCCTATTGCTGTCATTGCTTTAAAGGCATGAGGGAGGGTGTGCAAAGGACAAATGATACGGGCAGCGGCAGACTGGCTGCCAAAGGGATCTTGGAACCAGTTCTCCATAGCCATCAAGGAAGGGATGACTGTTACTTTAATAAATTGAAGCATTAAAGGCTGCAGGTTAGTGGTTCATGGTTCCTCTCCGGGCATCACAGCTCTAGTGTGGGGTCCACTAACAGGCTTTGTAAGGGACAGATGGTGACTACTTCACGGCTTGTCCTGTCTGTTGCAAGAGCTGACTTCTGCACTTGAGATACAAAAGCCGAGGCAGGCAAACGGAACTGAATGTGCAGGGTGTATCCTCTTAAAGTTTTATTTATAACATTAGGTGGGACTACAGTTAGCCAACAGGCAACCTAGTGGAGGCTTACAATGCTGTGCCTGCTGCCGGTCAGGATCTCCCTGACCATCCTGCATGGACGGATGCTCCAGTGACTTCCGGTCTGCTGGCATAGCCCTTACAGCAGTATAAAGCCATTGAGCTCCCACACCATGCCGCGTCCTTGGGGAAGAAGCGTGCCCCACTGTAGAACTCTGTAGGTAAGTGGGACGAGTCAAGGGGGATGGGAGGTGGTCCTTTCTCAAGCCTGTGTCCAGAGGTGGACACCCTTCACCGTGTCAGCCAATGTGGCCTGGCTGACAGGGTTCCATCTGGAGACCCTTGGGAAGGGGCCATGCTACAGGGCTCTCCTGGGGGCTCTGCCTCCTGCCATCGATAAACTCGAGCTTTCTGGGTTCAAACTGGCAATCTGGCAAGCACCCAGATGCTCGGCAAAAAATCCCACCACAGGTTGCTCCTCCCACAGTCGCTGTCACCTTGCTGATGGCCAGTGCAGCTGCATCCTGCTGCTTGGGTAATGCCTTTGGTACCATACTTCTTCCGGCCTCCCACCATAGCACAGAGCGTGGTGATCGCTGAGGTCAGAAAGATCCAGCTGAAGCTCTCTGGTAGGTGTCAGGCTGGCATGGACTCTCAGGGAGCTCCCCTAACCTAGAATTTCCTCTTAGACTGTCAGGCTCCTATCCCACAGTGCTACCCACCACATAAACACACAGACACATGCTACACACACACATACACACACACACACACACACAGGGAGGGGAGAGGGGAGAGGGAAGGAGGGAGGGAGGGAGGGAGGGAGAGAAGAGAGAGAGAGAGAGAGAGAGAGAGAGAGAGAGAGAGAGAGAGAGAGAGATTGATGGAGGGAGGGAGGGAGGGAGTGATTTTAGAGAGAGAGAGAGAGAGAGAGAGAGAGAGAGAGAGAGAGAGAGAGATAGACCCCAGTTGCTGGGGATGGGAGTGGGACATGCTGTGGCTCTGAACCTCACACAATGGCCCCATACTCCTCTGGGGAATGGTAGGGTTGTGAGCTTCCAGCAATGAGGAGCTCTTGGCTCTTGGTGGAGAGCAATAGCTGCCGTGGAAGACATCTTCAATTATTAAAGCAAAAAAGTGCCTGTGATTATCTTAGCCCAAACTCAGATGACAGAAGAAGAAGTCTGAGGGAATTGCTGGCACCTGAGGGAGGCAGGTCTGGCATCTGGTGGCCAGGTGCCTCGTCCCAGGGAGATGGCGTGTGTGAGCCAGCACTTCTCCACGAGCCAGCTACTTCACCCTTAGTGGGGACAGAGGGAGCAAAGGAGTCACAACACTCAGAGAAACTCCTGACCCGTGAACTCAACACAGCTGTGGTTTGACCCTCTATAAGATTGGGTTGCTAGACATCTCATCATGGAAGAGAGAGGGCTCATGAGGTTCCCCTCCCTAGGATCTATTAATGGTTGCTCACGGAGGGATGTCACTCTCCAGGGGCATAACTACAAGCAAGCTGTCATGTTCCAGTAAATAAACCCTCACCTATGCTGGATAAGCTGCAAGTAAACACAGTGGGTTCTCTCTCTCTCTCTCCCTCCCTCCTTCCCTCACTCTCCCCCTCTCTTTCTCTCCTTGTATGTGTGTATGTGTGTGTGTGTGTGTGTCTTTCTGCCTTCCTCTGTCTCTGTTTCTCACACACACCATGAAGACAAAACACCACAAAGACGTGAAAAGGGAGTGAAAGGGGGGACTTATTGGGGAAGGGTTTCAGTGAGAGAGGGAGGGTGAGATGGGGTAACCAGGTATGAAAATGTCCAGAGTTAATTATCAAAGAATAAAAAAGAGGAATCAAGGCTTTGACTTTCAAATCTGTGGCGGCTGGGCCTCTGAACTTTCTCTGACTATACAGTTGAGACCTCAGGGGGTGAAGCAAGGGTCCTGGTCAACCCCTGGGCAGGCCTAGAGAATTCAGTAAGCCCCGGGATTGGGACAGGCATGCTCAAACTGCAAGACAGCCACAGTGGAGCAGAGTGGAATCAGGAAACTCCTCCCCAGTCAGGAATTTCCCAATCCAAGGACCCTCTGGAATTCATAGATCCATAGTAGCTTTCTCAAGCAAGGTCTCTCATACTCTGCCCGCAAGGGCAAGACAGCTTCAACCATCCCTGTAGCTCTCCAATGTCAGGGCCTCATCAGGCTCTTCTTTCCAAAGGCATCATAGCCCTAGGTCTGGAGGTAGCTATTGGCAGCAATGGTCCTTACCCAGGCGTACCAGTCAGGGGGTTTCAGAAGCCATGCAACGCAAAAGAACAGGCAGAGTAGATGCTGCCACTCTGACTTCTGGGACTTCAGGCTGAAGGATTTCAATTTTTCTATCACAGGCCACCTTGGGCTAAATTCTCTCCAGTGAACACAGGTCAGAGATGTCTGTATCATAGCTCATAGGACTGCATTCCCCCAAGTGGGGCCCAACGTAATAGTGTGTGTGTGTGTGTGTGTGTAAAGGAGGAGGGAGTACCACTGTGTTCTGTGGATGATGCAGAGCCTTTATCTACCCTTGGTGAGGCTCAGCCAATACCAGAGCCTAAGCTAGGTAAGTGTCCTCTCCTCTGGTGGGAGGGCAGGGCAGGGATGGGTCTCTGAATCTGACTCCCACTCTCAGAGGCTGCCGCCTTATGGTTCTTTCGGTCGGCTCCCAGGAGACCTGACCAGCTTTCTGGATCTTGATGAGGCTCATGCTCCTGAAAGAACTGTGGACGGGACTGCTGCTCCTCACAAACCTGGAGCAGTGGAGGGCACAGAGCCAGCCCTGTGTGTGAAGGGCACTTGTTCTTCCTTTGCCGCAACTCCGGCAGCAACCCTTAGATGACACCAGCAGAGGGCGATGGCGAGCAGAGGAACTCCAAAGGCTTAACGACAGGTGAGCCTGAGTCCCCAGAGGGCAATGTGCCCCCTTCCCCGCGCACCTCTGAGTCACACAGCATATTGTCCCATGTGTACAGTTGACAGGGGTGTGGGACACTGTTCTTCCTTCCCTATGTGAAGCAGCCTTTGTTTGCAGCATGGTTAAAGAGCCTGCGCTCCTGCCCTGGAGAGTCCAAGTGCTCTATCCGTGACCCTGGGCTCTGTACTTGGACCTGAGGCTTCTTGCTGGCTCTGTGGACTGGGAGTTGCTGGGGGTCTCATGGAGCTACCTGGGAAGGACAATCCTGCATGTTAGGAGTGGGCAGAGGCTGCTAGCTCCAAACCTGCCCGCCTCTCCCTTGCTGCCAGAGGGCAGAGCTGTGGGGCCAGAGCACAGCTCTAAGTAGACAGAACTCTGTGCAGCTGGGAGCTCTGGGTGCGGCTGGCGGGTCTCACTCACCAGCCCTGTGTGGAAGCAGGAGTCCCAGCCATCAGTCCTTCACAATGCCCTGGAAGTAACCTCATTGTTCCATTTGATGAGAAAGACCATTTCAGCAAAGTCAAATAACTTTTCTCAAATCAGTATCCTGCCTGGGAGGACTTGTGATGTCACAAAACGTGGCTCACTGCCTAGAGGATGAGGCTGACACCAGTCCACAGGCCAACACAAGCTCATCATGAAGGACGGTGGTGAGCGCCAGGAAGGGACGGTGTGGCCCCGAAGGAGGAGCAGCAGGCCTGACCTCTTGAGGAGCCTGAGGAGGGCTGCCAGTGGATGGGAGGCTGTAACCCGGGACGACATCAGTACGTCACAGAAGAGAACTTTCCAGACTGAGGCAAGAGCAGGTGCAAAGGTCCTGAGGTGGCAGAGGGAGAAGCAATTCAGAGGGACTAAAAAACGTCCAGACGACCCAGTGTGAGGAATGAGCCAGAGGTTGGAATGACTCAGAGTGTAGAAAAAGCACTGGCCAGATACGAGGACTCTGGAGCCATTCCAAAGATGGCCACTCTGGCCTAACAGTTGGGGA